GTTTTTAAATATAAAGGGCCCATTCTATGATTAAGAAAACAACAATTTAGATGAAAACCACGAGTGAAAACATCACTAGGATTATTTTATATTCAATTTCTGCCAAAATTCCCTTTCACCTAAATCTTGCACACTGGATCTTTAAGTAATGAAACATTCAATCCATCAGTAAAAAAGTAAATGCCAGCAAACTAATTTCACATGACTCCTAAAACAGGTCTGGACAACCTGTTAAAACTCAAAATATAAGAAAATTGGCGAAAGTGGAAAGCTCTTAAATTTCTTGCATGCACAACTTAAGAACCAACCTTTTAGTATAAAATGTGATGGGATATTTAAAACATTGAACTTCATATTTGATCAGAGGCAATACATGTGCAATGTTCAGCATATGACATGCTCCTTCATCATTCTAGGAGTAAAGTAAAGCAGTTTTTGTCTCACTTGAGATTGTGTGTGTGTCTGAAGGCAGGCCACAGCATCTGAAGCATGTCTTGAGTCAGTAGACAGGAGGACAGGTCCAGCTCTTCAAGGTGATAACTACAAGAGGACAGCATGACAGGTCTGCTGTAAGACTTTACATACCCATTCCTTGCTTTTCACATACATAGACACTAACCAACTCAAAACTTGCAATAAACAAGTTACAACTACATCATACAATCTCATGTCAATGTTATATGTAGGTGCTGTATGATTGATGAATAATTCATGATAAATTTCAGTTCATTATGGAGAATTTATTTGGATTTCATGGCGGTTTAATAATTTGATTGCATTCAAAAATAAGTTAATTGAAGTCATGATTATTATTATTTAGTTATTATTTGCACATAAACACTCGTAATTCATTGTTTAATGTCATTATTAGTTTCAGTGAAGCAGATAAAAATAAGCACCTGTACCTTTAAGAAAGTAGCTGTTCAACACATAGTGTTTAGGAACAAGTGTGTGGATCACAGGAGAATGACAGGAGCACAGGGTTTTTCTGACCGTGTTGATATTTGTGTTGAAAATCGTGGAAGACGTTGTTTTGGAGTGTGCCTGGACATTTATCATTAGTTACATTGCTCGTGAAGATTTTATGCTTTTTATTTTTTGTACTTTGGCGAATAAACCTGTAAAATCAACCATCGTGGAGGACACACTTTTTGCTTTGTTTTGTTTTGGACACGCGTCAGCCATATGCTCTGGTGGAAACTGATATGTTTGTTGGAAAACCTACATTATATTTTGAAATTCTGACAGCATGCCTACCTAATACTGCCTACTTTTCTTACCCTACCTCAGCCCAAATGCAAACATATATGTATAAAAATCCATGCTTCGTCATTAATAGAAAAATATATATTGGTAAAAAATAATTTACAGACAGATGCTGAATACAAAGAAGTGCTTTTGTGATCGATGTACAGATACAAAGCAAAATGTGGTATATAAAAGTTCCCAAACTGTGTGCAACACTCGCGTTACAGGTGGGGTGGTAATTTAGTACCTGCCATAAAATATCGGTACATATACCTCAAATGCATTCATTTTAAAACTTTAAAACCAATCTGAGCACAGGTGGTTCCATTCCATCCAGGGTCGCAGAAGAGCCTGCACCTTCATCAGGTCTAGTGCAAGAATAAGTGTTTGATCATCAGTGTTTGTCTGTTTGTCAGTTAGCATGATTAAGCAAAAACTATTGAACCAATTTCCATCAATTTTTGTTGTGGGACATGGGGCAATAAAGAACCCATTAAATTAAGGAGTGGATGTTTTTTCCTCATTTTGTTTGCAGTGTTTCCCGCATAATTAATTCAATCTGACTGAGGTCAGATGTTCCTGATGAGTGTTACAAATATTCTCTCAATCTGTATATTTCTAAAGGTAATGTCTTAGTTAGAACTTGTAAAAGTCTTGGGCTGGTAGATTAAATTCCTGCCTAAATTGTTCGAATTACTTCATGGTTTTTCCATCAAACACGTCTGCAATAAATATTAATCCACTGTTTGTCCAATTATTCATGGAGGGTAAAAAATGCTATAATTGTTAGAGCTCCAGCTTCTATCTTATTCCTTGATGCAATGACAGAAATGGTCCAATCTGGTCTGTTCTCGAGACTTCCTGTGTCAGATTCAGATTCTTTTTGCACTTTTTTTTAACATTGCGAGCCATTTTTCAACATTTCCATGATCAGAAATAAATTCATGTATCGTGATGAGAAAATCAGGCATGTTTAGGGGACATGTATTTGTGTGTGCAATTCCCAGAGCTGAATAAAATCAGGATGTAGTGAATGTAAATGTATTTTCATAAGGGGACAGTTGGGCCTTGTTGGAAAAACAAATTCTATTGATTGCAATTCTTGGTTAACCATGCAATACCTGTTAATATCAGTCATCCATCTACTATATCTTTCCAAACCTAAGGCAAGACTGAATATAATGGAACCACCTCCCATCTGAGAAGTATCTATTTGATAGTATTTGACAGTGACAATTGGTTGATTTACAAATCAATTACAAATCGAATTACATATTTCTTATTCCAGAACAGTTAATGTTTACATCATCACTCTGCTGTGGTGGTTGCAGCCTAATTCCAATTTAGCTGATCTAGTTCACAGCTTAATTTTTCACATACATACATTACCTTGCAGGGGTGCATGACATGACAGAGCTCAGTATGAAGCATTTGAGTGATGTCATACGAATGTTGGCGAGGCAGATGGTTCTGATTGAGGCCAGAACCTCTGCTGTCAGTCTGGGGTTTTGAAACTCATACAAAAGAATGAGCAGATCCATCAACTCCTCTGGTGGCTGTGGTTTGCTGAGCGCTGGCATTAAATAAGAAAGAAAGTATAGAACAGCATGTAAATAAGTGCACCCAAAAAACTGAAATTAATTTTTTTTTGATTTGATCTCAAGCAAATAACAAATATCCTGTACAGTCTTGAAGTAATAACTTGTCCTTTAATTGAATATTTATTGGTGACATTATCCTGCAATGGCTAACTACATGACTTTAACATGCTGGGTCTAAATCGATTGAAAGTCTATGAGGTTCCAGCTAATCTAAAGAGTATTTCGAGAAACTTTATGTTTGAAATGCACTCGACTTAAGAGTACAGTACTTAAAATCAAAGCACTATTCTATTCTTAAAAAACAAAAAACAACGCATAGCATAAAATAAAGAGTGAAAAGAACATATATGTTACCCCTCACAAGGTGCTTCCTAAGGGCATTTGTGATTTGGACCACAGTGGTGCTCTGGATACTGCAGCCAAGTTGTTGGAGAAGGACACGGTTACCATAATGCAAAAGTCCACCCATGAAGATGGGGTAGAGTTCAAAAGGCTGGCCTTCACTGTGGTGCTGTGGCTGAGGGCCATGGACTCCTAAAAGACTTTGCTCCATCTGATCCAGGACATCCTCATTGTAGCTATCCTCTGTGCGGAACATCTCAGCTGCCATGGTTCTGGCTATGCTGCCTTTGTTGTGGCTGCTGATTTTCTTGTAAAACTCTGGAAAAAGCTTGAGCAGGTTGAACACAGCAAATAGTCGAAGAGGAATGAATTTAGAAATGATGTTAAAGAGGGTGCTGACATCCTCGCTTGCCTGACCAATGGTCAGAGACATCTGCCTGGTCAGCCTCTCTAGAGCTGATTTGTTTTCTCCTAAAACGACGTAGAGAGCGGCCAGGTACTCCTGCATGGCTGGGACAGCAAATACATACCATTTCTGATCATCTTCACGTAGAGCTTCTGGTAAATGCTTACATCTTTTTATACAAGGAGCCAATAAGAAGTCAAGCACATCAGTACGGAACATGGCCAACTGATGTAGCTCCTCATCCGTCTTGGTCTTCCCTCCTATCCACTGCTCCAGTTCATTCTCTGAGAATGATGTTCGTCTGTACTTCACGCCATCAAATGCCATTTTACCAACGGTACGGACAACATACAACATCAAAGAGATGTGGTGTTCCTGACTGGTCACATTTGTCTTTGTTCCTGTGCCCAGCACCTCACCCCCAAAGATGAGTCTGAGGAAACTGGTGTATATGCCTGTCAGAGTGCGGATTGGTGCTTTGGCGTCTGTAAAATGGAGGAAGTGCAAGGTAGCGCATGTAAGCCAGCAATAGGAGGGCAAGAAGCAGGCTGCAGCCAACTGGCTCTCTCTCTGGAGGTTGAGGTAAAGCAGCTCTATAAGAGCATGGGCCTCATGGACACGTACAGTCTCCCCACTCTGCTGCAGTAGGCGGCTGGTGAAGTATGCCAGCTGACGGTCTGGGTCACTGAAGCCACAAATCTGTGCATACCGACTCACATACTTCTGAGGGATACGGTCCAGGGCAGACAGTCTGGTGGTAGCCAATATGCTGGCCTAGGAAACATAAAACAGACAAGTTCCTAACCACTTATGACAAATATCAAACGCAACACAATTTAAAAACAAACATTGGGCCTTGTGCAAGAACATTTTAATATTCATATCCTAAATTTCGCTTCCAGCTTCAGAAAAGTGTGTAAATGAACTGCATGCTACCTGTGAGTATTTGACCATATATGCACAAGGACAGCAAATTAGCATATATAGCACATTAATGCCTTAATAATAACATATAAGGCTGCACTTCCTGCCCCATATGTCAGAAGTGTTCATTCATGAAAATGGCTTCAAAGAGTAAAAAGGACTTGACTGAAGTCCTGCTTATAGAGATCCATTGCCCACAGGCAATGGGACACCTCTATTCATTGTAATATGCATCAAGCTAAAATAATTGAATTTATAATTATAATAATTACAATTCAAATTGCAAAGTTTAACACAATAATGTCAATATAATTGTGATGTGTAATTGTTCTGACATATGGCATAGACATTGAAAATGTAATAATATTTCCCCAAAACTCTCTTCTGTCTCGAATTTACAATTATTGACTACACTGATTCTGGACAGAAATTATATTATAGTTGGTGTTTATCTAATAATATTATAAACAAATTTAAAGAATTGATTCATCTGACATTAACCTCACAGCCATGTGTCAGTACAATACAGGAAAGTTATCAACTCCCACACTAGTCGATGACTTTGTTAATAGTACAGCAGCCTCATTACAAACAACCCTTGACACTGTCGCCCCACTAAAAAAGAAAAAGAAATTCAGAGAGAGATTAGCTCCATGGTATTAAACACGTGTTCCTCCAACTCTGAGGAGCAATGATTTCATGAGTTTCTTTACAAACAAAATTATAACCATCAGGGATAAAATCCACCACCTCCTCCCAATGAATAGCACAGATACAATGTCTAAAGCAGAAACCATAGAACCATCTGTAGCACCAGATTTATATTTGCACCACTTTTCTTCTATTGATGTTCCTGAACTGACTTTATTAGTTTCATCATCTAAATCAACAACTTGTCTATTAGACTCTGTCCCAACTGGACTTTTTAAGGATGATTTTCCTCTGATTGACAGTTCCATATTAAATCAGATTAATATGTCTTTGTTAACTGGCTACGTACCACAAGCTTTTAAGGTAGCTGTAATTAAACCTCTGCTTAAAAAGCCACTCTTGACCCAGATGTCTTATATCAAACCTCCCAATCACATTTTAAAAAATCCTTGAAAAAGCTGTTGCTAACGAGCTATGTGATAATTTAGATAGTAATGTTTTTTTTGGAAGACTTTCAATCAGGATTTAGAATCCATCACAGCACAGAAACAGCACTATTAAAAGTCACTAATGACCTTTTCATGGCATCAGATGATGGACTTGTCTCTGTACTTGTTCTGTTGGATCTTAGTGCAGCATTTGACACCATAGATCATAAGATCCTGTTACAGAGACTGGGACAACATGTAGGGATCAAAGGAACGGCATTAGACTGGTTTAAATCATATTTATCAGATAAACTTCAATTTGTCAACAATGACGCAAGTTAGTCATGGAGTTCCACAAGGTTCTATCCTTGGACCGATACTATTCACCTTATACAGTATATGCTCCCCTTAAGCAACATCATCAGAAAGCACCACATACTACATTGTTAGGCAGACGACACCCAGCTGTACATTTCTATGAAGAAGATGAATCTAATCACTTAGTTCAACTTCAGGAATGTCTCAAGACATTGTGTTTCCTGTCATAAACTGTGTATCTGTATGGGAGTGTTATTTTGAAGTCGTTCTGTTATGGGAGCGACATTTTGACTAGTTTTAAAAAACTAAACGTGTCCTGGTTTAAGCCACATTCTTCATGTCCTGATTATACTATTAGCTTTCAGTATAGGTGAATTAAATTCTCGGCTACATTTATAATGGTTATTAGGAAGAGAGAGAGAGGGTGTGTGTGTGTGTGTCAAACGCTCCTGATACACACACACAATCTTGCAAGAGATTTAACAACACGGCACATACATAAATTACGTGACTTGCAAGAGGCATGACACCATTGTTAGATATAGTAGTTTTATAAATGTTTACAGTTATGAAATTCTGACGTTATCAAACCGCAGCTATCATTAAACAGGTTAATCCCGACATCCCTACTCCATTGTCTTTTGAATTTCATGTACTGTACTGAAAGCTGTACATTCCTATGAAGCCTGATGACTTTGTTCAACTTCAGGAATGTCTCAAGTACACCAAGGCCTGGATGACCCAAAACTTCTTACCTCTAAACTCAGACAAAACTGAGGTTGTTGTAATTGGCCCTAAACATTTCAGAGAAACACTGTCTGACCAGATAGTCACCTTGGATGGTGTCAGTTTGGCCTCCAGCTCCACTGTGAGGAACCTTGGAGTTATTTTTGACCAGGACATGTCATTTGACCAACATATAAGACAAGTCTCTAGAACAGCTTTCTTCCCACTGTGCAATATTATGAAAATTAGAAGCATCCTATCTCAGAAGGATGCTGAGAAACTAGTCCACACATTTGTTACCTCTAGACTAGATTACTGTAATTCTTTATTATCAGGATGTCACAGAAAGTCTGTGAAAAGCCTCTAGTTGGTCCAAAATACTGCAGCACAATCATATTACTCCTGTCTTAGCTTCTCTACATTAGCTCCCTGTAAAATTTTGAATATAATTTAAAAAAAATTCATATATCAAATAACTCATAACACTGTTTTGCCCCAATAGATCACTTTGTAACAATTCACCTTATTTAAGACAACTCTAAGGGAAGTACAATACGCTAATTTCAAGGAGCGACGGACCAGACTCCAGTTGCTTCCAAATAACTTATCGGGCAACACAAAATGATCAATAACGCTCGAAGAACGCTGAAAACATCCGCGTTAGACACGCATTTACTAAAAAACAAAACAAACATCTACAAAGTGAAAGGTCCGCTGAAAATTTGTCCAAATTAAGGATAAATAATATTAACAGGGGAAAACAATGGCGGTCCACCCGCTGTTGGAAAACTGCACGGTCTCACCACAGTCCCTTCGTCATCCAGGCTTCGCGATCTGGTAATCCGATGAGAGTTTATTCCAAAACGGTTATAATCTGCCGCCGAATGCAGGATTCCTTCAACGTAGTCTCTCTTTGAAACCCACAGCGACCCCCAAACAAAAGACTGCCTCTTCCCTGTCTCGTTGCGCCTCGCTCGCTTCCTGTTACTTCTTCCCTTACCTTTTTATAACATTTAGTTTGATAAGAAATACCAATACAAAACACATAGTTCGTGTTACACCTCTGGCCGTGTGATGTTATTTCTCAGATATCCTTTTGTACGTTCTTCAAATGCAAAAAAAACAATAACACAAACAATATGATTATTGTAACATTTGTGGTACATTAGGAAAGGCAAGTGATCATTACAACTTTGTTCCCAAAATACAGGCTCTCTTTAGGTTCCAAAAATCTGTAAGGGTAGAACAGGAGGTAGAGCTTTCAGCTACATCTCCTGCGGAACCAGCTCTCACTTTGGGTTCGGGAGGCAGACACCATCTCTACATTTAAAGTTAAACATTAAACGTTCCTTTTTGATAAAGCCTATATTTGGGCTGGATCAGGTGAGTCCTGAACCATCCCTTAGTTATGTTGCTATAGGTCTAGACTGCTAGGAGAACTCTCATCATGCACTGAGCACTTTTCCCCTTCTTTCTGTCTCTTTTCCCCACATTTATTTATTTTACTAAATTTCACTAACTTTGTGTTTTTTCCTTCCCATAGTGTGTGTCTGTGTTTCTGTCTCTCTGGTATCTCCAGAGCTGCTGACAACTATTATTATTACTATTATATGAATTGTTGCTGCTGTCATTAATAACATCTTTACACACTTAATGTTTTCATTATAACTAGTCAGAGCTGAAACCTGATGGTGCACAACTATTCCTGCCCCCCCCCATCTCTCTCTTCTCTCCCCTCTTTTGCACCCATCTGTCAATGTTTTCTCTGTGTGTGGCATTGCTTTTTCATCCTGAGATATGTTTTCTTTTTGTAATTTCTGCACTATTCACGTGTTAGAAACGCCATCAATACTCATCCTCATAATGAATCCTGCAGAGGATTTCCGTTTTGTTGTCTCACATAGGCTCCTCCATACTCTCTGCAGACTTTATCATAATAGTGGGCCAGTGGGAGAAGCCCCGGGAGAAAGTTTCGAGGCTCTTGAATTTAGATCTTGCACCACATCAGACTAAGTATCATAACTAATATTTCGTTTTTTAATTGATGAACATGGGCCCTACCACTGACACAAAACAAATGAATGTGAAACATAAAGTGGTGCTGGTGGGCAAGTTATGTAATTGGTGTGTGCTTGCTACCCTTCCATTATTTATTTTCCTCTTGAACATTTTTTTGTTTTATTGGACTACCAATCTAAATCTGAATTGCCATATTAACAGTTTTGATATTACTATAACTGAGCAACAAATGACAGTCTGCATTGACAGTGTACAAATGACTTTCCCTGACCTCAGGTAGGAGGTACTTCCGCAGTAGGTTCACCACCACTACAGCTGGAGACAGCACCTCATTAGGATCACTGCAGAGCTCTGTGGATCCAATCCGGAAGTCCAAGTTCATCTTCTCTATCCCATTGAAGAGGAAGAGCACATCCTTGGCTTGATTTCCCTCCCCACTAAGCAGGGGGTGTTTTCTCAGGTGGAGGTACTTCCTGCTCACCAAATCCCTTAAGGAAGCAACCCTGAATGGGAGGGGGGTTGTGTGTAATTATTAGGCAAATTAATTATACTCTGAATACAACAAAATACTAATGCCTACCTACCTACCTGCAGAAAAATTATGATCTTGGGGATCAAATGTGGAATCAACTGTCATTTGGAACAAAGGTAACAATTCAGGGTCTTACAATGAACTTATACTGTAGTTATATTTGAAATAATGGGGATCAGTTCTATTATTACAGGGTATGGATATTTCAGGGAAGATAGCTATATTAACATTTTGAAAGTATTTTGTATGGATCATGGCTGAGACTTTTAATTACAAGGATCAGTTTTAGTATTTCTGCTGTGTTACTGATGTGTTGTCAGTATGTGTTTTTGTATTTATATAGTGCTTTTCTAGTCTTGATGCCCACACAAAAGTGCTTTACAGTACAGTTTTTTTTGCCATTAATCCATTCACACACATTCATACAGTGCATCTATGGGCAGTACTTTTTCTAGAATCAGAATCAGAAATACCTTATTAATCCACGGAGGGAAATTCAAACAATGAATGAACTATGAGAATAGAACAGCCATCAGGGGCAATTCGTGGATCAGTATCTTGCCCAAGGACACTTCTGAATTTAAGTGGGGACCGCCGACCTTCTGGTAAGAGGACAACTGCTACCCACTCAGCCACAGCCACCCTATTAATATGATGTACTTTCGTATATTGGTCTATATCTCAAATTTTTCCAGTCTGCTGAAAGTATTCTTGCACAAATTTGACACACAAATGAAAGATGACAGCTCGAAAACTGTGTACACTAAACTTTTTCCCTTGAACAAAATATTTCTACTCGGGCAAAAAATGAAGTGCACTGCAGGAGATGTACAGTTAAAAGTTGTGAAATTATTTGTGAACATCATTTCTCGAACCCTTTTATGATCCCACAGATTTAAGCCTCATAAACCTTAATGAAGAAAAAAGATTAAGACATAAACAAAGAAATAGAGCATCCAAAAGAGTGTGGCACTTAGAATCTACAATTTAAGGGAGAACCAAAGTTACTTGTTGACAATATCACCCAAATGACACTAATGAAGGAAAACTCATAGCTTAAAGGTCCAGTGTGTAAGATTTGGGTGAAAATGATCTATTGGCAGAAACTGAATATAAAATAATCTTAGAGATGTTTTTATTAGTGTGTTTCTTCTAAATTGTACAAATTGTTGTTTTCTTTACCCTAGAATTTTTTATATTTAAATACTTTATATTTACATTGAGGGGACCCTCTCTACAGAGGCCGCCATGTTTTCTACATTAGTCCAGACTAGACCAACTAAACACCTTTTGAGTTTTTATGATGTTTGGAAGGAGAGGGTGAGGTGAGGGGCGTTCAGCTGCAACATGAAATTTCAACACTAGATATAACTAAATTCTACACACTGTACCTTTAATGTAGATATAAAGCATTTTGAGTGTTCATTAGGACTAGAAAAGCACTATATAAATACAAACCATTTACCATAATACACCTGGATCATACCGGCTTTATCAATGGTAGAAATTCTAGCAGTAACTCATGCAGGCTTTTAAATGCAACCTTAGATGCAGAAAAAGCCTTTTCTATTAACACACCAGGATTAGTATTAAACCCAGATTTTCTCTCTCTCTCTCTTTATATTATATTGAATAATTCTCTTCAGGATTATTATTATCTATATTATAAATTTTTTTGTATAACTAATGTTGTAATGATGAGATTAATGTTGTAATGATGAGATTAATGTTGTAATGATAAGATTAATATCATAGTGGACACATTATAAAATTAATAATGAGACCTATTGTTGATATTATTTGTTATTATTATTCTTAGTTATAATTATTATTCTTTATTATTCTTAATAATAATGTTATAATTTATTAAGTGTAATGTTCCATATCTGTATATATATAAATTTACCCACAAAATAACTAATTATTATATCTTACCTTGACAGTTGGCTGAGGTCCTCACAAGAGAAAGGCACCAGTAGTTTGAAGTGGGTTAGGGTAGTCCCTGAGCACCAGTCCAGAACCAGCTTTCGGATCACTGTACTTTTACCTGTTCCCACAGCCCCGTATAGTAGCACGTTGACCCCATTACCATCACTCCAAGCATCAGTGGGCTCAAATAGCTGTTCCACAGTCACAGAGTGACTAGCGATGGTCAGGGTTTGGGGAGGGGAGTTTAGTAGTCCTGCCCTCTCCTCAGCTTTTCTTTCCAGGATCAGTGGATCAACATGCATGGTCTCTGGACTGAAGTACCCTCCAAATTGTTTTTCCTCCTGAGGAAGATGGCTAAACCACAGGAAGAGTTTCCTCTTGTGGATCTGGATGGGGTCTTTGTTAAAAGAGAAAAAAGGAGGCACAGTTACACTATAGTTGTCACAATAAAATATTTTCACGTAATGATTATAGTGGCCAAAACAATTCACAATAGTGATATTATGACTATATCTTTAGAAATCTTGAAACACTCTTTAAACAGTCTTTAACTTTGTTTGTTTTGTATTTTATCTAATACTTCAAAATACTAACAAACTACTGTGGCTCAGGTTGTAGAGCGGGTTGTTGACTAACCAGAGAGTCTGCCTTTCAATCAAAGTGTCCTTGGGCAAGATATAAAACCCCAAATTGTCCCTAACTGCTGTGCCTGCGGTGTTTGTGTGATAGAGAAAGTGCTGCATACTGATCCACTGTGTGAATCTGTGAATGTCAACACTGTACTGTGAAGTGCTTTGAGTGGTCATAAAGAAAAGTAAAGAACAATACACACCATATACTGTTTTTGCCATGAACATGTACAGGGTCCACTCTAAGCATGCCTGTTTGAAACAGGCTTTTTGCTTGCCTGTGGTAATGCAAATAAGATTTGCACTTGTTATGATCTTTCTTTTTTTGGTAATTTAGAAGTCATGACTGGAAAGGATGTGGGGAGTTTCTTTTAAAAAAGGCCTTCTACAGTTTATTAACAGAGCACAGAATTGGGACCAAATTAGTGTTAAAAGCCTTCATCTTTCAGTTTTTTATTCATTTCATTGCCTGGCCAATCTCAAACACAAATATTGGCTCTTCTACAGTGGTTTTATCCTCATCACTTATAGTGCGAAAGTCCATATTTTCAAGAAACCCATAATCGTAAGAGTGTATGGGGGAGAATAAAATGCTTAAATAGATCATTGATAACTGGTAACTGGTGAGAGATAGAGGTGTGGACTCAATTATTAGATGCATCGCGATGCTGACTTGGACGACTCTGCATCAATGCAGCGACAGAACATAGTCGATTACATTCATTGTCTGCTTCCTCCTCACTCCTCTAACCTGCACTCACACTTTAACAATAAACCCCATCACTGATCACAAGCTATTAGGACACGTACAGGACTGACCTGTTTGTTTGAGTCGCTCTAGAGTTAATGAGACACATGTTTAAACAGGCAGATGCGTTCCCCTGCTACACACAACACGAGACGTAGGGTGATGCACAAAGTCAGCGGAACGATCCAGAAACATAATCCAACATCATGGATTAATAACTAAACAGTGAAGAGTAACAAAGACGAGCAGATTGAATGTGTGAACACACACACACACACACACACACACACACACACACACACACACACACACACACACACACACACACTGCAGACAGAAGTTGTACCTGCAGATTATGACATGGTGTTTTAACTTCATTGTTGCAGAAGAAGTGATGCCCCGTTTATCCAGGGACATAAATATGAATCCAGAAGGTTTTTATAAATATCAGTTCAAAGTGTGAGTGATTATAAAACAGCTGAGAAGCAGAATCACTTGTTGAGCAGAGTAATGCGCCTTAGGTGCAGCAAGTGTAAACTGAGTGAATGTCAAATCAGTGTTAATTGATGAAAAAGCAGCCATGTGCAGTGATATAGAGAATTGCGGATGTGATACATTGACTTTTTGAATCGTTGACTGCTGAATCTTAATTGAAACAAATAGTGAGGCTAGTGAGGATGCAAACCTCTAGGAAGAGAGCAGCCTACCCACGATCCCTGTGTTCGTAGTGTGTGTCTTAATTTAAAGAACATCTCTGCTTGTCTGAAGATCAAAAACTCAGTCTGCAGTGTGATCATTTTTTGTAGAGGTCCACTGATAGGGAGGCAGTGTCACTTGGTTAGTTCAGCAAGGTGTTTTGATCTGCTCGTATTGAGAAGTTGGATTTTTTAATTTCCATGGGTCTAGATTTAGAGATGGAGTCTGATGGGATTTTGGAACAGTCTAGGGAGGGCATACATAGATGTTAACAACAACAACCAGGTTGTTGTTGTTAAATTAAGATAAAAGCAAAGAAGAGAGAGCTATAGTGAATACTATAATACAATACATATACAGAATATAATACAATACAATGCTAAAAACGATATACATCCAAAGGTGCAGTGTAACATTCGAGGATGCAAATGTAGTGACAACTTTCAACTGTATGGAATATGAATGTAAAGGTTAGTGCATATTTTTCCAGGTGAGTGAAGGAAAAAAAAACTTTTGATTCTCCCAGTTTCAGTTCGGGAGGCAGACACTCTCTCTACATTTAAGAGTAGGCTTAAAACCTTACTTTATGATAAAGCTTATAGTTAGAGTTGGTCCGGGCTTACTTCTGGCACCAGCGCGAGCAGGACGCCTATCCAGTAGCTCCGTACGTGTTGTGTCGTTTTTAGCGTTTAAAGTGTGTTTTTTTCAACTTTTTTTTTAACTACACTTGCTGTGTAGTTTTTATATATCCTATAGATACAATGTCTTTTTATCTGCAACACAGCGGTGGACAACTTGTTTATTCAAGGGAGAAGCTGCTTGCACTCCAAACAATGTGATGAGCCCGGCATTGTTCACCCCATACCTGAGGACTAGGCCGCAGAGCTGGGGCGAAGGTGAAGGCTAGGCTAGCGGCTAAGCGGTGGAAGTACGAGACCTCGGTTCCTTCAATAATCATGGGAAATGGTAACTGTCTGACCAACAAGACGAGCTGGCTGCCCTTGTGAGGACCGACAGGACATTCAGGGAGTGCAGTTTACTGTGTTTAGCTGAAACTTGGCTCACCCAAAACACACCGGACACTAATGTGGATTTACCTGGATTCACGACGGTGAGAGCGGGCTGGGGCTGCAGACGCAGCAGCAAATGCAAAGGTGGGGGACTCGCACTGTTTATTAACATCAGATGGTGCAACCCGGGGCATGTTACGGTGAAGGAGACTGAGTGCAACAGAGACATCGAGTTGCTGGCGGTAGGACTCAGACCGTATTACATGCCCAGAGAGTTTTCCCATGCCATTGTTGTTTGTGTTTACATCCCTCCACGTGCACATGCCGAGACCGAGTGACGTCATCCACTCCACTGTATTAGGGCTACAAACACAGCACCCGCACACCTTCATCGCCATCTCTCAGGCATGAAAACGGGTCAGGGGTGCAAAAGGTAAGAAGGATGCAGCCCCTCTAGGGGGGTCCAGGGGAATGGTCCCCCGTAAGAAAATTTTGGACATTTTATATTTAAAACCATCAAGGTGGTGCAAGGAGGTGCACTTTGAGATAAAAATCAAGCAGAGTTACAGGACAGTATGAATGTATTATAAAGTATCTATACATATTCACATTATGCGTTATAAGAAATAAGGCCGACAACTATGCTGTATAAGAAACGAGACTAGCAACTTCTCCAAAGAAATGTGCTACAGCACAGTTTTAATTCAGGGTACAGTGGCGAAACAAGATAAACAATTAAGATAGTACTCAATGTAATTTCTTCCTCTTTGCCTGGACCTGTGTCTCCATGGCCCGCTTTCTCTGTTTTGCCACATGTCTCAGCCTTGCCCTCTTCTCTTCTTCAGCTGTCTGGCATTTAGTCTGCTGAGCACTGCCAGATACTTGGGAGCCATGCTAGCAGTATCCCCCCCCCCTTGCGCTATTTCGATGCTGTAGCGCAGTGGTCAACAACCTTTTAAAGCACAAGATCACTTTTTAATTCAAAACGTGAGCCGAGATCTACCACCCCGCTATATTGATAAAAAAACACTTCAGGGTCATATTTATAATTCAGTATGAATTCATGCATCTTCAGCTCCTGCAAAAATTTCACAATAAAAAACTCTTGAAACAAAAGAATGGATTTGGTCAACAGAAACGCTGGAGTGCTTTTCTTTTGTGTTTGTGACATAAATTCAACAGATAAACATTCAAACTCAGGTGAAAGATCATTGTATTCTGCAGTGAAACACAAAGTTGATCTGTCTATGTCACAAACATATTTACAACACTTCTTGAACCCGTTTCAAAGTAAATGGACTCCAGCATTTCACTTCTGAATCCATTCATTTGTTCCAACAGGGCTTTGTTGTCGACAGACCAGAAGATGCAGGACTTCATACCGACGGTGAAGACTGTCGAGATTGACCGGTCGATCGTGATCAGCGGGTTGGAGACCACTGCTGCAGCGCTAGTAGGGGAATGTCTTGTTGGATTCAAGGCCCCCTTCAGGCAAGCGCACACGTTCACAGCTCACTATGGCTCCGCGCCGCTCTCGTGTATAAAACCAAAGTCCTAATAAAACTATTTCTGGTATAACTCCATGTCCGATTTTTTTAATCGGATCTACACGATTCACATAGGTCACCTATTTTGGATTCAAAACGGCGAATTTCGCCGAAAGGTGAGTGATTTTCATGCCTGATCTCTGGGGATTTTAACCACGTCACAATGGACTCCACACTACCAGACTTTCAAAAGTTTGTAAGCTGCCCCACCAGGAAGAACAGGACTTTAGACCTCCTGTAAGCCAACGTGAAGGAAGCTTACACTGCCACTCCTCTGCCCCCACTGGGAAAGTCTGACCATAACCTGGTCCTGCTCACACCACACTACAAGGCAAAGATCCAGAGCCAGTCCACAACCACACGCTCCTTCAGGAAATGGCAGTGGAGGCTCTTAGGGACTGCTTTGAATCTACTGACTGGAATGTCCTGCAGGACCCACATGGTGAGGACATCGAGAGCGTCACCCACTGCACTACGGACTACCTGAACTTCTGTATGGATGTTGTGGTCCCCATTTAAACTGTACGCTGCTTCCCTAACAAGCCCTGGATCACCAGTCAAATGCCCGGACAAAGTGTGTCCAAGGATGCTCAAGGTCTACTCTGCTGAACTGGTGGAGCCACTTCAGCATGTCTTCAACCTGAGCCTGCAGCTGGGGAGGGTCCCCTTGTCTCTGGAAGACTTCAAGTCTCATCCCAGTTCCGAAAAACAAAACACCCCAGGGAGCTGGACGACTTCAGACCAGTGGCACTAACATCTCACATCAT